ATGCAGATGGGTCAATAGGTCAGATGCATGCTGCCTCTCAAAAGGGACTATACGGCGCTAAGTTTCATAACTTGAACCGAAATGTGGGGACAGTCAACGAATTCTTGAAACGAAGAGGCTCTCGATGAAGCTTCTGGAGGGGATGGCAAGTGACACGTGAGGAATCATCTGAACCTGAGCTGCTGCCTGTTGCTCACGTGCACAGCAAGCGTTGAAATGAAGTTATCAGAAACCGAATTCAACGCTTGGTTTCGGGCCATAGCGCGGTGCAAAGTAATCCTGTTACTGTGCACCGTGCTATGGTTCAAAACTAAGAAATGGTGTAACGGCCAATCTCACGCTTACAAGGTGTCGGGAACCATTCCCCGCATTGACTCCTGCTGACCGACCAACACATCTACGCTTTGGGGACTTTCACCGGAGATAAACTGGTACAAAATTTGTCTGGGAAGACAAAGTACTAAACAGTGCATAATCTGCCCCTCCCCCATGCAATGCAATCCCGGTCGTCAGGATTTGATTATTATTTTCAATTATCGGAAATAGAGTTGTATAGATCTTTGGCAGTCCCTCTCCCAACAACGACCAAATACGACCCCCCCCCTTTATAGCGTCCGTGAAACAAGAGAAATCAACTATCAAAAAAAAAATTTTTCCCAGACCACAAACGTGGGCGGTCATCGTGGAAGCCACTACTGAATGGAAGTGGTGGGTAGAATGCGTGCCACATCCCAAAAAAGGACTGATTAACGACGACGATCACATCCCTTATCTTTTTACTACTATTAAAGCACAATATTTCGTAACTATGTGGTATTGATCAATATTGATTATAGTCAAGCTTCTGCAATATTCTGTAATAGAGTATCACTGGAAGAAGAAACGAAAAGCGGGAGTGTTCGGCGCCAGGGAGGGTGAAAAGTCAAGCCGAGCGGCTGCCATTGGTCCAACCCATCGCCATACATCGTAATGGGGTTATAAAACAGTGAAGATAAGAAGAAGCCGTATAATATAAAGACATTAAAATCATTATCAGCGCTACGTTGCAACAAGGGTTATGCCCCCTTCGCACATTAAACGTGTAATAATATTTATGGAATTCAAATTATTTCCACAGTTCCGAAGTCACCGTAATGTACCGTATAGCAGTGCTACCACAGTTTCCGCAGTGAATCTGATAAGTGCGGTAGAGACTGTTCAGGAAGGGGTAGATAGATTCCTAAATACAAAGAAGAATGGAGATGTGGCAGCAGATGGTGCGCAGCCCCCATGGCATGTAGCGCCCACGGATTGAATTCTGACATGACCATCTTAGGTTCCCAACTGAGCAGAGGTAGTTTGGGGAAAGCAACGAGTCGGTGCCACTTGCGACGTCACGCCACCCATCTGCAGCTTACCCGAGTAGGAAATGGCAAATAGACCTATTGCGAGGCTTCAAAAAGACCACGTGGAAGCGCAGGAAAAGGCATTGAACAAGTGAGACAACGTGATATCTCCGGTGGGTCCCACCTTCTCTCACGTTCGTCCCTACTGTGCTGTGTAGATTGATTCTGAGAAGATTCGTGCAGGAGAGAACTGCTGACCTCAACATTGGCTGGTTTCCCGTAAGTCAGAGTGAAAAGGTTTCCGAAGTAATCCCTCTCTCCCTCCACCGCCGCCTCGAGTGAGACCCCTCCGAAAGTCTCGACTTCCAGGTCCGTCGACCTGCTCACTACCGCTTTAGTCGTCCAGCTTTAGGAGAAAAACGTCTTGTCAACAAACCACGTCGTACCTTGGGGAATCCCCAGCGGGAGGGGGGGGGGGAGTCGTATCAGTATTTGGTCGCTGGTGCGTGGCGGGAGGGGTGGGTCGTATTTGCTGTCAGAAATTAGAATGAGAAATTCGCGGCGTCGGGAAAAAATTTTTCCCGTTCCACATGTGCTGTATATACCCCCAGGCCCCCACCCCCTTCTCGAACCTTTGGGGAAAAACTTTGAAATTGTCGGGACGGAAAGACTGGAAAATGTGGCAGGAAGCTGAAGTTGGGAAAATCTATGAAAGCGGTAGGGGTAGGATGCGGAGGGGGAGCGCACCAGAGGGAAAGGGAAGATTAGGGGGAAGGGTCCTGTTTTCCCAAAAGTTTCCCCCAGCGGCAGGACGTACCTGCCCTCTCGTCAATCTCTTGAGACATGATAAGGTCACGTTGAAGACCAGCTGTACTCACCTTGGAGGAGGATCTTTTCCATGTGCAAAGTGAACTGGTCTGCAGCTGTAGTACCGTGTCCCTTTGGCAAAAGTGCACGGGAATAGGGCTGGAGGGTTGTGCCACCCAAGTGCCGTCTTCATACTCCGCCAGCGCTATCCTCAATGCGCAGCATTTATATCGATATCATGATCAAGCACCTGTTTCAGCAAACCAGCTCTGCCCTTCTACTTCAGAAGGAGCCAGAATACCAGCCTCAACCACGCTGTTGTGCTTAATACTGCAGCTGCCACGCCGAATATTTAGGCATTTCCCAAATCGACAAGCGAACACGACAAAAGAAAAAATTTCCAGGTAGCAATCGAAGGTGTGATCAAATGCGC